GAAATAAAAAGTTAAGCATAAATATTGCAATTTTATGATAAATTTGAGAAACATTTGTTGTTTTTCTTCCAATATTTATTTATATATTATTTACCATTTATTGATTCATTTAGCTTACAATAAATATTCTATTTTATAATAAATTTATTAAATAAATTTTAAATTGGAATAATCGAATAAGACCAATAATATGTCTACTATTTTGAAATAAAAGATATATAAAGTATTGAATAGCTTCAAAAAAAAAATTACAACAAAGTATTACTATGCTTATAAAATTTATCAAAAACACAAATTAAATAATTCTCAAAAAAACTAATTTCTAATATTCCATATTTTAATTTTAATTTTGTGATTTGATTTAAAATATCATCAATATATAATTTCTAAAATATAGTATATGTTTTGTATTAAATTTAAATACAAAAATTTAATGGTTTAATAACCAAAATAATAAAAAAATGCTAAATTTATTACTTTTATTAATATATGTAATAATTGATATAAGCTATAAATTTTCAGTTATTTTATAATTACTTTATTTTAAAAAGGCATTTTATCAACAGATAAATTTTTGTAATATACAATATATGCATTATATACTGTATATTTATATTGAAAATTGAGGAAATGGTATTATAATACGTTTTTTTCTTATATTACAAGTTAAAAATGATTTTATGAAATATCAAATATGCAATTTTTAATAAATATGGGTAATTATTTTTGAAGGCATCAAAAATGCTAGATATGATTTTTTCGGACCCAACTTTTAAACAATACATATATAGTATAAATTTCAGGATCCCATCAGAAAATTTCCGGTCCGCCTTCAAAAATAATTACCCATATTTTTATTGTTATATCCTTTGAAAAATATAGTACATGCTTTTTATTTTAATTTATTTTAATTTTAACATTATTATTTGTCAAAGATTGTTTGATTTATTTATTTTTCCATAACTTAATTATCCTTATCAAAGTATTTTCTTGAAAATAATTTCTGATGATATTGTAATGAAAATCGAATTTTGATGATAGTTACAGTGTATGCTGTGTCTATTAATGTGAGATATGATATTAAAAATAAATTTAATATTAATATTATGGTGACTAATGAGGTTGAAAATATTATTAATCATTTAAAAAGATTGTTTTAAACAACGATTTAAATATAATCTTGATACGTTATTATTTTTACATTTTATGTACATTTAATGTTTTTTTTTATTTATTTATCTAAACATCATGACAGTTAATTGTCATTCTTGAGCTATCTATTGACATATGATTATAGTATATGTAATGTCTAGTTATAATAGTGTGCCAATTTTTAATTTATAATAACAGTGCAAGTTTTTTTACTGTATAAAGGAATAACATACGATTCCATGGTTTCCATATGTAGTATAGAATTTTTTATAACCAATATTTTCAAATTGAGATTTATTAAATTTGTCTTAATTTAATTTAATTAAATAAATTATAAGATATTGCTAATATTTTTTTTATTTAGTTGATAATACAAACTTAAGGTCTTGCGAAGATATTTGTCATAAATTGATCAGTAAAAAAGAACCGATTTCGGTGGATAAATTCAAGAATGTAACGATCACTGTATTTTATATTAGTCAAATAAAGAAGGAAAGTTCTTTGAAGGAGAGATTGTACTATTGTTACGGTGAAACGACGATCGACGATGGCTTAGAAATTGAGAAAACGACGATCGCGCATTATAGAGGTTGCCAAAACGGATAATCGACCCTCAACCTCGTTATTTCTTTTATTTTCTTTTGCCGTAAGAAAAAGTATAAAAACGATGTAAGAAAATATAGTAGAAAGGGAGCGGAAAAATTGGTCAATAAAAGAGTGTTAAAATCGACCTACTTATCGCAGTGTTCTGACCAATAAAATCCCCCAAATCACACAAACTCGCCAAATCTACGCCTCTTTCTGCCTTTAATCTCCCCCTGTTATAACAGATACCCCTGTCAAAGTGTCGCGAAGTCTAGGATTTCGCCGTTACTGCTGATAGACCCCTGACCCGCGACAATATGAATGTGATAAATTAATTAAAAATTTATTTAAATTTTTTTATTTTGTATCCAAGTAATAAAAATAAATAATTATATTAAAAAAGTAGATATTGATTTATTTTTGTTGTAAGAAAAAATAAAAAAGTCAAAAAAATTTGAAATCAAAAAATATGTTAATTTATAGAGAATTTATAAAATACTAAGTAATCATAATTTTTATTTGAATAAAAAGTAATTATATCAATACCAAAAAAAAACAAAAGTAGATCTTTTTTTTTAATTTTAAAATTATTATAAAATAATTAAATTAAATGTATAATAAAAATTTTTACATTATATGAACAGTGTGATCTTAGTCAATTGAAGAAAGTTAAATATTATAATAATATGTATTTTAATTATGTATAAGTATAAAATTTGTTTATCTTTTATAAACAAATGCTTTTATTTCAATAAGAATTAAGTAAAAAAAATTTTCAAAAATATAGGATATGCATATAATTATAACAGATATGGATTATAAAATAATCCAAAAGGTAATTTTAAAAAATTGAATAATAAAGAAAAAGATAATAAATAATAGTAAGATGATACAACCATGTGATTATATAAATTATAAAACTGTAAGCTTTGGTTTTTCATACTTTTTTATTATTTTATATGCAAACTTTTTTATGAATCTATTTTATTTTTTATTTTTTATTATTTTTATAATATATAGATATTACTTGTAATATAAATAAATCAAAATATAAGTATATCAAAATTATGTAAATTAATTACATTAAGGAATCAGTTGATATTTTGAAGACTTTTTAATACAGACATATAATATTAATTAATTAATTAATTTAATTTATAATAATCAATTTTTTATCAGCAAATAACTTTTCATTTATCATGTTTTTGCTAACTGTTTTTAATAATTTTTTAAAAATGACTGTTGACAAAATATATATTTTTTATTCATATAATATTTCATTGAAAATATTTTAAAAATGTAATTTTTTATTCAAAGTCTTTGATAAATATAAACATATATATATTTTTAATTATCAAATAAACTCATAGACAAAATTATTTATAAAAAAACATAAACTATATATTAAACATTTTTTATAATACTTTGATTCATATTTAAATTTTCAATCATTAATTTTATATGTATAAGATAATAAATTATTGAATTTTATTTTTAATTTAAAATATCCGTTCGCATTTAGATTCAATTCGATTTTATGCAACATATAATATAGACTAAGAATTGTTTGTACAAAATATTTAATGATTTGATAATAGTTGCTTTTTTTTTAATATAAATTCGATAAATTATATAAATATTTATTTATGAATTATAGGTAGTAATCAATGTTCGGGAATTATTATTAAGACAAATATTTAAAGTATTTTGAAATGTGGTTGTGACCTTTCTGTATAATATAGACATAAAATATATTTTTTTTTTCGATAAAAATGCTTATATAAGTGTATTTTACTACCCTTCATTGTGAAATATGGATTAAAAAAGTGAAAACGATATTTTCCACTCAAAGATTCAAGCATCAATAGGTTATTTCTTACGTAGAGTTAAGTAGATGTTTGCAGGGGAATCAAATCAAGAGTTTTTTTTTGCCAACAAAAATTTTTGAACGACAATAAATACCCTTTTTAAAACGGATTACGCAATGAAATTTTATCAGAAAGTCGTAGCATAATGACGCAACGTTAGCATGACGCGTCAACGTACCTTTACATGATTTAATTATTAGTCGAAAAAGACGTCAAATTGTTGTTATCTTTATGCGTAGTAAGTATAACAATAAGATATGTGATCATATTTAATAAGTAAAAAAAAACACGGAAAAAATTATTACCTCTTCTGTGAGCCAAGTGATTAGTAATTTGCAATAATGCAACGCATATACTTACTATGATTTCATGATTTCAAAATAATTATGGTCCCGTATACACAATTACATAACTTTTTACGATCTTTATTTAAAGTTGAACTTAAAATCGCTTAGCCTTTGCTTTCAATTTCCGGTAGTTACTAAGCTCCTTATTCGTTTATCAAGATACGTGATTGAAACAATCGGCGTGCTTACGTATTTTATTTGACCAATTACCTATTAAAACATAATTATATTTATTGTAATATTGCTTTTCATTAAGTACCGTAGCCAATTCTTCATAGTAATGTTGCAAAACGGAACAGGTATCGCGTAACCTCTTCATTATTGACTTTTATCGTACACTTTTTTCATTGATTAGATTATTAAGAAGATGGCAGAGACAAAAAGAATAAAAAAAAAATGATAATAAAAATAACAGAGGCTTTGATCGTTACCTAATAGAATTTTCTGCTCACCTTCGTATTATCTACTGTAACAAAGTTGATCATTCGCGATACTCCTCGCAAAATAGGTCGCATGCACAAAGTTATGTTTTGGTCAACTCTTATTTTTCCTATTATACCACGTATAGGTCCAGACAATTGCTAGCAATAAAACTTTACATTGTATCACAACAATAGGTTATTTTGCAGTATGTGCAAAAAAAAAAATCAGAAAAGAAAAAAAGTAAGAAAAATCAAAAGCGAAATAATTGGCGCATCGTTATTATTATCATACATTGCTAGAATTAATCATTTGTTATATATACAGTATAATGAGAAAATAAAAGTAGATATACATATCTAAATATTAATCATACGACCGGAACATCTAACCACATAAATCTATAAGTGGTAATACATTTCCAAAATAGGAAGTGATTCTGCAGTTTTTTATTTTTTTAATTGAAAATCATGAACAAAAAAGAGTAATGTGAATCCGCCCATGATGACACAGCATATATACATATGAGATTAAATGAGTTTCCATTAAACTTTCCGCGTGGCAAATGTATATATAAGCGCGCGGAAAAGGTTAAGAACGAAAACGTATCTAAAGTTCTCAGCTAAAAATGCGACCGCCATATGCGCTGTTAAGAACGATATTGTGTCTGATGATGTTACATGCCTATGGGGCACAGAAAATTTATTCCATGTCTATAAAATCTTTTTCGGTCACGTGTAGGCTATCAAATTTAACAAACCATTTTATCGATCACGTTGAGGTATGGAAATAAATACAGTAAATTGGTAAAATTGATAGAGTTTGCGCTAAGGCAACCTTTATTCTATTCTAGGGTTTATTGTATGTTCAGCCATCTGATTACTCGAACGCTAATATCTCCTGGATAGGCTACATTAATTGTAACAATTCAAAAGATATAATACGCGATATATTTTCAGCACAAAGTAACAAAGCGATGGCAGTAGTCTTATTCTCTATCTATGATAAACCATGTGATGTCCATTTGCCAATTAATATATCCATGCCAATATTCTTCGAGGCTGATGCGGAATGCAAAAATTATATTTTCAATACTAAAAGGGATGAGTCACCTAACGTATCAATTTATGTTGACGAAGACAACGAAATAGAAAATAAAATCATAATCATAATTTTTATAACTATTGCAGTTGTGTTTATACAAATAATTGTGTGTTTCATAAAAGTCAGATTTTTTTCATCAATATTAGTAAACAATGAATCTTCCAATGTTAGAAATAATCGGAATGACAGGAGTAAAGAAAATGGTATTACCAGCACTGTATTGAATAGCTTTCCGGTTTATTTGTTTCCGCAGATTAAAGATGAGACTAGCAACGATTTAGAGAAAGGAAAATGCAAAGAACTATTAGAAGAGTCTGATCAATCTCATAATGTAGGAAGAGCACTTGCTGGAAACAATAGTATTATGATAGATGATGAAATCATCGAAATTTACAAACAATTAACATGTTCCATTTGCTTGAGTGATTTTGTATCTGAAGAAGAACTAAGAATTCTACCGTGCAATCATCAATATCATAGGTGAGGGTATACCATAACTTTCTAAAAACATGTACTTTCTCAAAAAAAAAATAATAACCATAGCTTAATGTGTTTTTTTCTTTTAAAGAGTGTGTATTGATCCATGGCTATTAAATATCTCTTCGCTATGCCCCGTGTGCAAGGCTGATTGTAAATCATGGAATGCAGAATTGCCAGTGACTACTCGAGATGGTCCGTCAAGTGAAAATCCTAATAACATTTCCCCTCAAATTATTGTAAATTTCCAGACAACTGAAGGAAGATGCTTAGGTGATGGCAATGAATCTGTTAGCTAAATGTTTCGTAAACATTTATTCTATTGAATCCTTGGAGGTTTTTAAAAACATATACTGTATATTGTAATTACTGGCAACTTTCATTTGTTTCATTTTTTTTTTTCATTATTCTAAACCGTCTGTATATTATTTGATAGGATTGATGTATTTCATAATTAAGGGAACGAAATTCGGTGATGTTAACTTACAGAAACAAAAATGTATAAATATTTTTCATGGTCATACTGTACATGCAACATTTTTTTCACACGAGGTTTTTTCTTAGCATAGTGGGTCTGGGGTTTGAATAGTTGATGTCTTGTTCAACCTATACAGTAATGCACACCATGTTTACATAAAAACCAACGTTATTTTTTTAAACGATAATCACAAAAATGTATTGTTTTGGTTTTTTTCTTTAAATTACTAGTACTGTTACATAACACAACACAAATTTTATTCGAATTTTTCCGAAATATCTTATAAATGATCAATTGAATTAAGATCCGAGGATTGTGCGAATCAAAAATATTTAAATTATTATTTAATTCATTAATCATGTAAATAAGAACATTATTTTTTTCTTTTTAATACAATATTATAACGTGATATACAGTGCTGGCGATAAAATCTGACATTTTTTTTTTCATTATTAAAAAAATTATACTGTATTATAAAAAAATTTTTTATTAAATTAATATTACGTACTATTAATTAAAATAAATTTTATTAGTACTTTAAAATAATACCGATTTTTTTTTTAATATTGATAGAATTATATGACTTTATTTAAAATTTTTTTATTTTAACATTTAATTTTTTACCACGTTTCAATATGGAAAAGTCTGTATTTAAATTCTTATTAAATATTCAAAAAATTTTATAACTTTATATATAATAATTATAAATAAAAATTTTTATTATTGTTATATTAAATAAATTTTATAATAGTTATTTTTTGATTTTTAAAAATATTTTGAATAATAAATTTATTATAAGTTAAAGATTATAAATTTATTTATAGTAGTAAATCAAAATTTTTAATTATATATATACAGTGTATTGCAAAACTTTTTGAAATTTTTTATTTATCTGTTATTTAAAAACTATTACATAAATATTAATAAAAAATATATTAAAATAAAGTTTAAAATCTAAGAATTACAATAATATGAATCTTATAAATTTTAATACAATAAATTTAAAAATTTGTTAATTTAATTTATAGATTTTTTACTTTTTTATAATATTAAAAATAAAATATAAAATTTTATAACTTTATAAATTTAAATAAAATAAATAATACAAATATCATTTAAAAAAAATTAAAAAAGCTATTATTTAATTTAATTATTATTGAATAAATTATTTCAATAAATAAAATCTAAATCTCTTATAATTATTTATTTCTTATTATTTGTAATTAGTCAAATTATTTAATTTTATTAAATTTTTATTAAAACAATATTTATTTAAAACTTTATACTTGAAAACTTCTAATTAAAAAAAATACGGATTTTTTATTATTGATTTTTTTTCATGTTATATTTTTTAAAAATATTGCTTTACTTAAATAATAAATAATTTAAAAAATTTTTTCAATAATTTTTAAAATAAATATTGTTATTTCAATTTTTTATCAAATTAAAATAATAAAAAAAAAATTGTATTTCTTTTATTTACAACTAAAAATAAGTCTTTAAATTATTTAACATATAAAATTTTACAAATTAATTATATTTTTTTTAAAAGAATATATATATTTATTATTATTTTAATAGAGATATAATTAAAAAAATATTTAAATCAAAAGTAATTTAAATTGCAAAAAACTTTTATAAATGATTTTTATTTTATTTTATATTTTAAAAAAACTTTTTTAATAATAAGTAACATTTGAATTATATTTTTATTTTTAATTTAGAAACTCATCTTTACTTACAACTTTAATTTTGTCTAATATTTCTATATTATTTCTTTAATTAAAATTATTTGTTTAATTTTTTTAAAAATTAAATATATTGTTAAAGATAAAAATAGTTATACAGAAAAATAAATAAATAAATAAAGATAATTGAGTCTATTGAATATAATAAGTATATTCAATTAGGGCTCCTAACGATACCACTTCGATATCACTTCGATACCAGTTCGATACTTAAATTTACTATAAAAACACATAAATAGATCACAACCCATATGTTAAATTTACTATAGAACGGTACCATTTCAATATCAGTTCGATACCAGTTCAGTATTTTTTCAAAACCCTATATTCAATATATCAAGTATATTAGATATATCAGGTATATTAGTTATATTAAGTATATTAAATATATTAAGTATATTAAGTATATTCAGTATATTTGATATATTAAGTATATAGTAAAAAAGTATAAAAATAATAAGTAAAGAAATTAAAAAAAGAGTTGATCCCATTCAATAAACTATAATGAATTAATAGATTAATAATATATATTTGATTAAAATATACATACTTATTTTGAAGTAAGACAATCTAATAACTATTACATAACATAGATCAGACTGAAATGATAGAATTATTATATTACACTATAATAATATTATTAATTTGATATTATATAATTAAAAATATATGAAAAAATATATTTTGTTTACTTTTTTTATAATTGGCATAATTAATTAATTTATAACTTTAATTAATTATTTTTTAAAAAATTCAATATAATTAATTAATTTATAACTTTAACTATTTTTCAAAAAATTCAATATAATCAAAAATTCTAAATTAAATTAAAATGAACAAAATTTTTTAAAAAAATTAGAAAAAAAAGCTATTTAAAAAAAGTTATAAAAATAATAAAATATTGAAAGTATTTTTTTTTTTTTTTAATAATTTTTTTTTTAAAAAATATTTTTGATATTAATTTTTTAATTATAAAATAAACAAGAAAATATTTTTTTAAAAAAAAAAGAACAAATAATAATTGTTATTTATTTTAATAATTAAAAAATTAATATTGTTAAAAAAAAGTATAAAAATTATATTATTATAAAAAATAAAAATTTTTAAAGTTTTTTATTTTAAAGTTTTTATTTTATAAACAAACAAATATTTAATTATTAAAACTAAAAATATAATAATATAAAACTTTTATATATACTAATATAACCTTTAAATATTTATTATTTATTATTTTTTTTTTAGTATAGGAATAATAATTGATAAGTCTGTTACTATATTATAATTATTAATTTGTAATAACAAATAAAGATATATAAATTTTAATATAAGACAAATAAATGTATTATATATTGAACTGAATTTATTTTTAAAAGGTTTTTATTTTATTATTATTTATTTAATATATTTTATTTTTTTTTCATATATGTAAAAAAAATTTTAAATTTCTAAAATTTTTCAAGTTTTAATTAAATTTTAATTAAATGAAAATAGTATATAGCATATCTATATTATTTTATTATTTTATTATATTTAAAAATAAATAAAATTTACTTTTCTACAATTAAAAGTTCTCATTTCTAATTTAAAAAATATATTTTTTTATTCTGTTACCAAATATAACAAAAAACTTAAAATCCTTGTTATATAAACACAAAACTGTTAACCTTTTTATATTCTTTAAAATCAACAAATGCTCAAACATAATACTATAACTTATATAATTTAACTTATTAAAAATTACAATATCTTATTTTATTCTAAATCTAACAGTCAACATAAACTTTTTGAAAAAAGCATATTTATTTATCAGCTTTTTGTATACTATTTAAACAGGTCAATCTTTACAAAACAACTTTTTAAAAAACATATTTATTATATTAAACAATTACTTCAATATAATAATAATAATCTTATTAACTTTTTAGAAGTTTTTTATGCAATAGGCTAGTGTTAACTTAAATGGACACTTAATGTAATGACAGGATTATTAATTAATCAATAAAGTCTCACATTTTATGCTTGTTTGC